CCATCTGACTCTGCGAGCTGCTCCCATGACTGTGTCCGTAAAACGAGGCAAATCCTTCTTCATTTGCCAGAAGGAAGGAGGCTGGCTCGTCTGATATGAACTCAAATTCCCTTCCAGTTCCGAGACCTATACTTCTAAGGAGTTGGCCTCTACGGAGCTATCTTGGCCTCCCAGCAAGCCAAATACTTCCAGCTAACTCCTGTCAGGCATCCTACCTGTAACGGGTCACGACTTCCACGGTGGACACACTGCTTCCCATCACAGAGAAAAGAGTGGGAGGACGAAGAGCGCCAAGAGCATGGTGCTCACCTCTGTTGAGTCTTGAATCTCTTTAAGCCCCCAGATGGGGGAGATCAGGATTCCTGTCTCTAAGGTGTCTCTTGACCCCTCTTTCTTGACTCCCTCTCTCTCCTTCTGAGAAAACCCCCTCTCATTCTTTCTTTCTTTTTAAAAATCAATACATGTATATCATTTAACATCTCAAATAGCAGTCTCGCCTCCTCCATCTCAGCTTCTCACTCGCCAGAGAAATACACTTTACATTCTTGTGGCTCTTCTTGTATTTCCATTTTCTCAATGCCATGTGGTTACACTACTATTTCCTGATTTGCAGATTTAGATATTATTTAAGGACTTCTTATTATGGAAGACGAAGACTTAGCTATTTTATACACCCCCAAGGATCTTTCTATAAAGCAAATATTTCTCTAAATCCCCCAGCTTTAGAACCAGAATCCAGCCACTCGGCGCAATGACAGCTGAAGCGCCAACAACACGTGCCCACAGACTCTAGATCAGCTGGCTCAATGGACGCACTGCAGCTGCATTCTCCCAAGGTTGTATTAAAATCATCCTTGTCTATCTATGAAGATGCTAATAACCTTTAAAAATGATTTTAGAATTCTGTAGCAGTAAATAAACCAATGGGTTTTAAGGGACCAAACCCTACAAAACAGGAATTTGGAAAATGGTTCATTAAATGACCATAAAACCCGCAGCCTCTTGAGTTCTATACAGTCCGTTTTCTCTACTCTCTCTCTCCTCAACAACCCCCTTCCTTGTGCACTCCAAACCCTCTGACCTCAGGGCCCTGAACTGTAGGGATCTGGGAGGAAGTCAGTTCTACTGGGGAACAAACCAGCTCAACTTACGCACGGAGCTAACCCGTTCACCTCTAACGTTTATGAGGGTCTCCTCTACGAGACAACGTACAGCACGTCTCCTCCACAAGGACAGAAGCTCAACAGGGGGAACAGACTCAGGAGTCTTTCCATTCTGTCCCTCCCTCTCAAGTCTCCCCGACTTTGAAATGAAAGAAATGAAAAGCTGTCAGCTGGAGGCACCAACAAGAGTGTGTTAACTCTTAGCGATGCCAAAAAACGCCCGTTACAGAACGCTAACCTTTTTGCTGCTGTTGTTGCTTTATATTTGTTGCATTACTCATCTTACAAATTTGTCCCAAATGGCTCAGGCCTCATTTGAATTCCCTCATACATCCCTATTTAATGCCAGGCACACACTTGCCACCTGGGTATTTGTGTTCACCTGGATCAGTCACTGTAACTGAGGTCTCCCATGGAGTAGAGGGGCCGTGAAGGGACTGTGCTGCAAGGGGGAAAGTTGACGGCGAGAGCGAGAAGAAGCCTGAGTGGCCAAGAGCTATAGTGGGTGACAACACTAAGACTCAGCTCCTAGTTGCAGACTCAGCAGAAAACACAGCTGGAAAAATATGACAAGAAGCTACCGAGAACCCCTCAAAATCACCCAACTTTAAATGGTCCCCTGGGATAACAAAAAAGCAAACGAGTAAAATATGAACACCTATGACTGTTACACACTACATCTGAGTTCAGATCACCCATGTATTGATCACCTATAGAGCAAATCTTTAGAGGGTTGCAGAGACTGTAATGAGGAATAACCTGCTTCTCATTAGATGCAGACTCATTCATTCAGCAAATAAACTACAAAAGATGAAAAAAAGACAGACTTTCAAGTGGTAAGAGGGAAAAGAACAACAGAAGTGCTGTGGGACTTTAAAGGAGGGAGAACAATCATAATTGGTCCAGGGAGAAATATTAGGACACATGAACAGACAAATAGCCCAAACTCAGAAAATGAGAATGGTTGCTAATCAAGAGGCTCTGGTAGAGGCAGTGAAATGGAAGGAGAGGCCTGGGAAGACTGCAGAGGCAACAGGGTTGGCACCTGGCAACAGATGGGTGAGCGGGGTGTGTGTGCACGTGCACTCATGCACGTGCTAAGCAGGACACTGATTTTACTCTGAGGAATTGCAACATGGCTTTACCATGCTGAGAAGTCAGGAGGACAAGCTGGTTTGGGGGCAGCCACGAGAGCTGGGAAAGCGTGAGCAGAGACAGCCTACGCTTGGAGAGCACACACCAAACACTCGTTCTACGGGTATGGGGGTGCCCCTTCCTCCACTTTATTTTCCAATGTAGAATGTGCATCAGAATGTCCACAATGTCCTGTTGTCCTCCTAGCCCCACAGAATCCCCTCAAACAGCAGATAATACTCCTGGTTCCTCATGTTACCCTTCTGAAGGGTTTCCTATCCACACGCTTTTCTCTTAGAAAATTCTCATGCTTCCAATCCATCATAAGTTGTAGGAGGGTCTTATCACCATTTATACTCTTTCTATCACGAATGAGTTCCGAGTTCTAAACATCTGTCTTACCAATAAAAGTTTTAGAATACAACCAGCTTCGGGAAGCTGTGGACTATACAGGAGTTAACGCAGCTGCTCACTTGCTTGGCTCCAGCTTTCAGAGACATCTCATTTACTGTCTTAGGACACAAAGTCTAATGACAGGGAGCTCGTGAAGAAAAGGGAAACGTAGTGTGTAAGCCCCGGGAGACCCTCCCATCCTTACACAGGATGTGTTCCTAATCGTCAACAGCCCAATGACTGGGCCTGTCTTGGGGAAGGGAGGTACTATTCTAACAGGCCTTGTTTGTAAATGGAGTGAAGGCAACTGATCATATACATCGGGGCCTACACGAAACACAATTAAGTGGAGATCCTTCTCCAGTGAGTTTCTGAGCGTCTGGAAACAGCAGGGCTGTTTCTACACTTCCTTCTAGAGCAGCACGTTGAACCATCCCCCTGTGCATTAAAGGACAAAACCAGGAGGGATGCAGGCTTCCATCGCCCCTTTCCCTCTTGCCCTCTCTCAATTCTATAAATCACTTCTGGCAGGTAGCTGGGAAGCAGCTGCAGATGACAGTTTTGCTCTGGAGCACAGGAAGCCACCTTTTAACCCGCCTGCTGTTGTTTGTCTCTCGAAACGTGACAAAGGAACAGATGTAAGCAACATGCCAACTGTTGAGAGGATCTGCTCGGAGCACTATAGGAAGCCAGCCGCTCCATGGAACGACAACTGAGTTCATTTCCTGAAACCCCTACGCATGCTCTGTCACGTCAGGTTGGGATCTGCGATGCTCAGGCAACTCACCACGCACATCCCTGCTTCCGCCTTCACCCCTGTGGTTCCCACCTCGAAGCCCCTTCCTAAACCGTGTTCAAATGCCACCAAGGACCAGTCCCACCTCACCTCCTGGTAGTCTTCTCTGAACCCCACGTCCCTCCCTGTGAAGTACTCTGGACCAGAGCACTTTACACAGTCTGTGCCATTCTCTGAGCCTCTCCTAGGTCAATCTCGTCTCTGTCCAAACCATCCCATGATCTCCAGGAGGGCTGGAGGCAGGGTTTACACACCTCTGTATTCCCAAAGTAGCGTCTTCCAAATCACTAGTTGCATGATGAGTGCATTGGGAAACAAGGTTAAAGGGTTGCAGTCAATATTTTAAAATATGAAATAGAAACTAGCTTATAAAAGATACACTTGGAACAACAGAGGAACTATTAGATATGAAATTCCCATTAATTTTCTTAGGCATAGTAATGGTGTTGCGGTGGTATAGGAAAATGCCTTATTTTTAGGAGATGCATGAAGTATTTAGAAGTGATTTACTTTCAACTGGATCAGCAAAAAAACGTGTGTGCGCGCATGCATGTGTAAGTACATACGTATGTGTAAGTACATATGCATGGATAAAGCAAATGAGGCAAAATGTTACAACTGCTGAATCCAAGTGCACAGTACACAGGTTTTCACTGTATTATTCTTTAAACAATGTGCTTGAAAAGTTTCATAATAAAAAGTAGAAGACAATGAAACGGAAGATTAAAAAATCAGAATGCAGAACACGAAGTACAATCTGGTTTCAGGTGTCTGTTGATGTGTGTGTGTCCTAGGTTACAACATAAATGTATTTCTTACTGGGGGTCAAGGCCAAGAGTCTGAAAGTGCTGCCCTACAGCTCCTGGCTGCACCAAGCACACAGCAGGTGCACAATGTGCTATTTGTTAATTAACTTCTATAAGCACAGGACTGAAATGAAGAAGCAAGCTGAGAAATCATTTTGTCTCCAGTTACATCCCACTAACTCAAGCTGCGTCAAAACATACAACCCCTCTCCTGCCTTCGCACACTTGGGCCTAACCTCAGCTCAGCCTTCGGGCCTTTCTTATCGGACGTTTAATCACTCATTAGGAAGGCTACTTCTGGCTTTTCCCCTCGAAGGCAGGGAGGGGGTTGTGTTAACAGAAGACTGAGTAGGGTGACCAGTTGTCCCGGTTTGCCTGGGATCGAGGTGTTTCACAGAACCAGGGACTTCCAGTGCTAACACGAGGACATTTGGTCACCCTAAATCTGAGGGGAGACCGTGACGGAACCTTGGACAGGTCGGGGAGAGCTGACACTGTTGTGCCGTGTGGCGGATGGTGCCACTGCAACAAGGACGACAAAGGCAAACCCAGCACAGCAAAAACTGTGACCAGACAGGGGTCTCCTCGACGGCATTCCAACACCAACGGCAAACGCCTAATTGCACAGTGTCTCTCATGCCCTTCAACAGAACCTCGCTCTGATTCTTCACCAACGAATCTGGAAAGCAGAGGACCTAGGGAACTTACTGTAAAAACGTCATCATCACCAAGCTCGGCTTCATTATGGATGGTGGAAGATGATGTTGTTGAGCCTAAAAAGACAAAAAGTGTAAGAAAGTCTTTCCAAAGAGGACAAGTCAAATCCAATCATTTAAAAAGTATATTTGAATAAAACCACATTCCATTCCTTTTGGATGGGAATCACCAGCATAAATCTTACCTGAGAACAAAATGCTTTTAATTTCCTCTTCTTTAATTGACTCTTGCCAGGATGCTCCCTAAATTAGCTTTGCCTACTGTTGTTTCCAGTTAATCCCTCAAACTTGTCCACTGGCCACTAGAGAACATGCACAGAGAGGCACCACGGAGGAGAGGACAGGAGAGCCTGCCCACTACTCTGAAGGGCATGTGTCAAGACCAGCCTTTGCCAGCAGTTCCCCAGGTCCCCATTGTGTGGTGGGAAAAGCACTGGATGGAGAACTGTCAGGTCAGACCCACCATACTCTCACTGTGTCCACTGCACTTAGCTCTCTGGCTTTTTCATCTCCCAGTGAGGGGGTTTGACTAAATAGCTAGTATAGTCACCTCCTGTTCTGAAATTCAGACACTCTACTAACCCCAACTGTGGGAGCCACCTTCTAAGCCGATACCTGGGGAAGTGGGTTTTCTCTTGTGATACCAAGACATCAATGAGTTTTCACTCTTTCTCAGGCCAAAATTTAGGCTCACGTCAGAAAACCCAGTTTATTCTATCATGGAGTGAATTGGTTATTTAGGGTTCAATTTATTCACTTATTCATCTCTTTTTTCATTCTGGTTTGCAAATCAGTATAACTTCTGACTTTTTCCTCTAGTAATACCCGGTAACGTGAGGATCAACTTAGCTGACACCGTTAAAGACTAAAAGGAAAAACATTTATATTTGCCTAAGTGATAGATATACCAAGAGGGAAATTTATTCTCTATCTTCTCCTTTTTCTTGGTTAGGTCTTTAAAAACGTGCATTTAGAAAATATTTTGCTATTACATAAAGTTGAAATTAAAAGGATTGCTGAGAAAGGGATGAGAAATATTTAAATTTCCAAAGAGGGATGGCAAGAGGAAAAATAAGTTCCACAATACCCTCTGTGCAATTCCTACTGATCTTTTGGGATTTTTCTCTACTATTTGAATTATTCCAGTCAATCAATGTTTAAGGCAAGTTTGATAGGAAACAGCTAGGTAGAGCATATATAGAGCAAAAAATTACAAGCAAGAGAATCAAATTTGGGGTGTAGCTGCAGTGATTAAGTACATGGACATACTGCAAACTTCTATCAGTAATTCAGGAGCTATCTTCTGTTTAAACATTTAAAAGCCACGTTTAATAACATTTTAAATATCTGCCACCTTATGTCAGTCCTATGATGCGAACACCGGTTTTTATTATCTTTTTCGCTGTCACATGGTTGTAGTTAACAGATTCATGTTGTAGCTAGAATTGCCTTACTAATAATGTTAAGAAATTTTTCTTTTAAGATTTGCTTTTCTCTTTTCCCCCAAATCCACAACGAAGAGAATGACTTCAGAATACTTTTATTTCTTACATGAATGAAACATATTCTTTTGTGATTAATTTCCCCCCATTCTGAATCTGGCTTTAACAAGCCTTGCTTGATATTGCTTTCTTCGCAGGGCCCTTTAACTCTCTGATTTGATAACTGAATGTGTTGAATGGAGAATTTGTGTATTTGCATCTGTGGACTCTAGAAAAGCCCCTAAGAATCGATGGCCCAAGAACCTTTCAGGCCGTGATCAAATGCAACACAATGTCTCTTACCCACTCACCCACAGACTAAGGCCTCCCTAAGCCAGGGCTCCAGGAGCCACAGAGCCCTTTCCTTTTCAGTGGCCTCTGTAGACCCTGGGCTCTGATTACAGGAGGACAGTAGGTGGGCCTGGAGCCTGCTGGGCCCGTTAGAATCCATTCTTCACTTCTGAGCCAAGACAGATCAGAGCAAAGCTGTCTCAATAGTGAGGGAAAGGTGAAATCTGTCAAAAAGTCACTCACATGGAAGTCCAGAACTTGTCTTTCAGAGCAGAGTCTAAACCAATTGGAATCACTCCTTACTCTGAAACCCATCTCCTTTTGCGCTGCACTGTCACTTTATACTTGTTCTCCTTGGATGTTCCTAATGTCTTGGCATCTACTGACCCGGCTCCCAATCCTCCCGCAAATAAACCACAGATATATGATGGGAGACAACTGGAATTAAAAAGAACTTGGAACATTCCCTGAGTCCCACTGAGAACGCAGTGACAAATTCAATACCTTCTATAAGGTCTTCGATTGCTTTCCTCACTCCCCTGTCAAAGGCTCGCGCATCAGCAGGGCTTTGGAAAGTAAGTCCAAACTTCCTATTGTCGACCTTCCAATGATGAAAGGTTGGGTTGGCTTTGGTGTAGACCAAGTCCTTTCTTACATAGCATTCCAATACCACCTGAAGGATGGAAACACACAGGCTGGTTACTTGTGAAGGTCATGATGGTGTCTGGTTACCAAAACCTAACTAGGAACCAACCAGCACTGATGCAACTAATGTGAATCCCGTAACCCTGCCTTCACCTGCCCAAGTCTCTCCATCTTGGAAGAAGCCTTTGCTCGCCTCTGTTGACCATCCACTCTTGCCTTTGGTGACCCCCACTGTACTGCTGTACTCCTTAACCACGCTTTTCATCTCACTCATTTGTCTTCCTCCTGCCCTTGACTGGGGGGCACTAGGCTCAGGCCCAGGTCTTGGGGCTTGGCTCTGTTCTGGGTTTACCACTTGTGTGTCATGGCTTTTGTATTAATGACTCTCAATCTTCTCTCCTCTGTCCTAATGGTTGTTTCCCAGTGACCTCAAATTCAACAAGTTGAAAAATTAATCTGCTCTGAAATTTCTGCCACCAGTTTCCTCTCCCAACTTCCCCATATCTAGCAATGTCAACCCCTCTCTGTTCATTTTCTCTGGCTCAAAATCTCTGTGGTTATCTTTGCCTTCTCTGCTTTCTCTATCCCCTGTATTATTAATCACCCAGTCCATTTCATTTTTCCTTCAACATCTTTTATATCAATCCCCTTTCAGTTGCTACCACCCTGATCTGGGTCTCTATTAACCTTTTATCTGGATTATTACAACAATCTCCAAGTTTCTAGCAATCTAGTCTCAGAACTGCCTTTTACTAAGCTATGACTTTGAGTGTTTTGTCTCAGACCCTTGATCTTTTTATCTCTAAAAGGGAAATAACACCAATGTTATCAATGAGGACATACACATCAACATGCTCTGAAAACACTGAGTAATGAGAAACTTAACAGGGTCACACTCATCCAAGTATATTTCCACCATCAAGTTTTTACTCTTTTATTTATTCCATTTCTTCCTGTCACCTTCACAATTTAGCACATGATTTCATATTATTCTCTAACAGTCTTGTGTGCATTAGTCTTATTCCCCTAAGTAGACTGTAAAAGATCAAGATGTATTATAAATTACACCCTGTGTCTAGGACAGTGCTATTGTTGATAAAAATATCAGTTTATTATGATAGAATAAAAGAAGCATTGCAATCACGTGAACGTGAACTTCATTCTTCAAAAAAAACTCCAAAATAGCAACAATATTTATTCCTATGGCTTCATTATGTATACCAAAATGATGTGGCTAAGTTTTAATAGCTTTGATGTTGTTCTGGCAAAGCTGTGCATTTTACAAACTGAGATGTTATTAATTTTAGACTAAGTGAAGGAAAAGAGTAAAAGGCCCAGCTAAATTGGTATAGATTCAAATTAGAGAATATCTTTAAATGAGTACAGCTTTCAAGAATACATCTAAGCAAACAGAAATTAAGTGCTGCCTAATAAATGTTCCCTAACTTAATAGATGAGAATTGTAGTCAAACTGGTGTATCAGATAGCAGTCCCAAACAGTTAACTTTATTACATTGTATTGAAAGAAGACAACGGCCCGCTCACACAGTTCTATTTATAATTAAATTGCTTATTATGGCCATTTTCCCCTAAGAATAGTGCAATGATTAAATGTCAGCCCAGCCCCATTCCAAGTTGGGGAAATCCAAATAACCAAGGCTTTAGCTAACAAATGTTATCTATTTTAGAATTTAATAGTCTCAATTCAAAGTCTCAAAATAAACTTTTTGTAAAAACGAAGACTTCTAGTTTATCCATATTCTTAGGGTAAAAAAAAAAATTAGTCTTTGGTTGACATTTTCCAAGTTAAAGATTATTCCAATGGTACATTTTCTTAGAGAAGTTTAATAAATTCTTTTTTTTTTAAAGATTTTTAACTTTTCCTTTTTCTCCCCATAGCCCCCCAGTACATAGTTGTATATTTTTAGTTGTGGGTCCTTCTAGTTGTGGCATGTGGGATGCTGCTTCATTGTGGCTTGATGAGTGGTGCCATGTCCAAGCCCAGGATTCAAACCGGCGAAACCCTGGGCCGCCAAAGTGGAGCTCTCGAACCTAACCACTTGGCCACAGGGCCGGCCCCATAATAAATTCTTAGAAAAGTAAAGTAAGTTCAGCCTCCTAAATTCTGTGAGAGGGAGGGGATCAGATACCACCTCTTTATGTTCTCTTAAACAAAATGACATCTCTACATATATAAGTTTAAGGGCAAAAATGAAAAAGTTCAGATGTTTTAATCTTCCTAACAGGTATCAACCCTCTAGTGAAATTTTGCCATTAACTTAACACTTGAGAAAGGCTTTTAAAAGTACCTTTTTAAATGAGATGCATGGGGAGAAAAAAATGATTGTATATTCTAGTTGGAGGCTTTAAAAAAAATCTACACAAGAAATATGTATTGTAAAAGACTTAAGTAATTTAGATGAATACACGAAGGCTCCATTCTTACTCATCTCACCCTCCCCACCCCAAGGCCTCCCCATTGCCAGAGTTGCCCACGGTCAGTATGGTCAGTATGCCCACTATCCTAGTTTCCTTTCTGTGGCTTCTTTATATATTCACATAAGTGTACATGTTTAAATGTAGCCACACCTAAAAACTGCTCTGCAGCTTGCCTTTCACTTTACTTAAAAACAGGGCTCAGGGGCCCGGCCCAGTGGTGCAGTGGTTAAGCGCGCACGTTCCACTTCTCGGAGACCCGGGGTTCGCCGGTTTGGATCCCAGGTGCGGGCATGGCAACGCTTGGCAAGCCATGCTGTGGCAGGCGTCCCACATATAAGGTAGAGGAAGATGGGCACGGATGTTAGCTCAGGGCCAGTCTTCCTCAGCAAAAAGCGGAGGATTGGCAGCAGTTAGCTCAGGGCTAATCTTCCTCAAAAACAAACAAAAAAACCACATGGCTTAGAGCTACAGGAAGGTAAAAAAGGATTCTGTTTAATGGCTGCATAATAGTCCTCAGTATGGATATATTAGAATTAGTCGGCCATTCTCCATACTAATGGGCATTTAGGTTATTTCTAATTGGTCACTTCCACAGACAGTGATGGACTGAACATCCTTAAACATGTTCTCTAAGTTTGGTCTGTGGGCTCCTGGGAGACCTCCCCCTGCCCCCTCCAGGCCCTTTCAGGAGGTCCAGGAGGGCAAAACTATCTTCATACAATAAGACTTTTGTGCCTTTTCACTGTGTTGCCATTTTTGCTGATGGTACAGAAGGATGGGTGGGTAAAACTGCTGTGCCGTGGTGTGAACCAAGGCAGTGTGGTGGCACCAAACTGTACAAAGGTCACCAGATTCACCACTGTCACACGGTCAAAGTAAAACATGCTAGTTTTATGTAGGATTGTCCTTGGTGAAGCAGTTGAAAATTACTAGATCTTGACCCTTGCATACACATCTTTTATTCTGTGTGATGAAATGGGAAGGATACATAATTCACTTCTCATAGCTGCCTCTGCAGTCAATCTGCTATCACATGTCACTTTGGTTGAAGTATATGAGGAAACTCTGGCTTTGCACAAATGCAACGTTAGAAGAGGGACGAGCATTTCTACTCGCCTCTTCACCTCTGCTGCATAGGGAAGAATGCGGGTTGTCTCAAGGAAAAGTACTTGTGCGACTGTTCCAGCTGTGACTGAACTCACTGCTTTTTGCATGGATCACCAGGGTTACTTGAAAGAACATCTGACAAACTAGGGTTATTCAGACTTGGGTATTCGGCAGACGTTTTCTTGAAAATGAACACGGTGAGCCTGTCACTTCGAGGAAAACAACTGGAGGTATTTGTTGCCAATAATAAAATCTGAACTTACAAGTGAAAAATCAGAATTTTGGACAGCTTCCTGATACTTAAAGACTTTTCTAATGAGATGAGTGGTGATATTAAGAAACGTGAGTTTTTTTTTTTTTTTTTTTTTTTAAAGATTTTATTTTTTCCTTTTTCTCCCCAAAGCCCCCCGGTACATAGTTGTGTATTCTTCGTTGTGGGTTCTTCTAGTTGTGGCATGTGGGACGCTGCCTCAGCGTGGTCTGATGAGCAGTGCCATGTCCGCGCCCAGGATTCGAACCAACGAAACACTGGGCCGCCTGCTGCGGAGTGCGCGAACTTAACCACTCGGCCTCGGGGCCAGCCCCAAGAAACGTGAGTTTTGATGCTATAGAATTAAGTGTACCAACATTTGGAAGATCTGCTTAACTGAGTAAATCATTATTTCTCAAATGACCAATGCATGACGTTACACAATCAGGCATGAGGAAAAGGCCCATTCAAAGTGAAAGATAAACCAGTGGATTTTAACAGAACAGAGTATGAAAAGTTCACCGATGTGGCTTCAGATGCCACTTTTAAGAAATTACTACAAGCCAATTTTTGGTGTAGCAGCAAAGAAATATGTCTACAATTATCTGAAAAGGCTATTAAAATACTCCTCCCCTTTCCAACCACATTCCTGTGTGAGACTGGATTTGTTTCACATACTTCAACAGACTGGAAGCCGTAGATATTAGAATCCACCAATTTTCTATTAAGCCAGATATTAAAGAGATTTGCAAAAATGCAAAGCAGTACTACTCTTCTCACAATTATTTTGTTCTGGGAAATAGTTATGTAGTTATTTGTCATAAAGAATGTCATTTATGCTAACAATAGAGTTTAAGGGTGTTTTAAATTCCAGTTTTAATTTCTAATATGGTAAATATTAGTTGCTATCACCCACAGAAACAAAAGCCTTTTGGGTCCTCAATAAATTCTTAGAGCGTAAAGGGATCCTGAGACGAAAAATGTTTGAGAACCGATGCTGTCCATAAATCTTTGTGTCTAAGTCAACTTCTATAGGATAGGGTTTATTCATTTTTTTTAAAGATTTTATTTTTCCTTCTTCTCGCCAAAGGCCCCCAGTATATAGGTGTATATTTTAGTTGTAGGTCCTTCTGCTTGTGCTATGTGGGACGCCGCCTCAGCATGGCCTGATGAGTGGTGCCACATCCGCGCCCAGGATCCGAACCAGCGAAACACTGGGCTGCCAAAGCGGAACCCACGAACTTAACCACTTGGCCACAGGGCCGGCCCCTAGAATAGGGACTGGATGAAGAACTGCTAGGTAAAAAGGTGCATACATTTAAAATTAAAGTCCTCCCACATTGTCTTTCAAACAGCTTGCAAGCTGGAACTCTCGTCAAATGTGTGTGAGGGCTCATGCGTCTGTGAGTGGGCAACGACTGAGAGGTGGATTATCACAGGATTTGTTTAAGGAAAAAATTCCTCTAATCCATCTAAAATAGGATTCAACTCAGAAATGTTAAATTTACATATAATTTCTCAGGAAAACTTGATTGTCCCCAACTTACAAAATATCCAAATAACAACTTGTGAATAGATGTCTGGAACACAGACTTTTCCCTCAGAAACAATGGCAGTTAAGTTCACATGCCTCAATGTATGATTCACATAACAACAAAAACCAATGCCTTGAATTCTGGAACTGCACTACATTGTAAAAACTAGTGACGACACTGTTTCTATCAGGAAAAGCATTTCATGTCCTAGTTGGAATACTGGGAGCTCTGATACCATCCATCCACTGTATTCTAAAAATGATCTCCACTCTCTCCTCGCCATTCCACCATTTAGAGGGGGGCTTCTTCAACAACCCACTTCATATGCAGATCTCCTTTGTGTGTTCATACCCGCCAGTGGGCAGAAGTGCTGCATTATGGGAGCCCTAGGCCAAAGGAAGAGTCACCATATCTCCAAAGGGGTGTGTATGTATGTGTGTGCGTACGTGTGCATGTTGTGGAACAAAGCAGGGGGAGGGGGTTAAGTACCACTGATTACAGGAGTCCAGAATTTCCCAGAGTGTGAAACAGGCAAGGTGAGGGATTAAAAGGTGGAGAGGCATAACTGGGTGCATGGGTGTGTGATTTAAGTATTAGTTGGTATAGACGTCCAGAAGTGTAGAGTCAGAGAATGTAAAGCAGACAGGAAGAGGGATGCAGTGATGGATGAAACATGATTGGGGAGAGGAAGAGGTACATAATCGTCGTGCAAGAGCAACAAACAACAGAAGCTGGTCTACACCCAGGACTGCCCTATTACTGCGCAGAGATAGTATGAAGGGACTAGGTTTTGGCTTCACAATGAAACGGTTCCCAGTGCCGCCTCTGCTAATAACTACGCAACTAGATAGGAAACAGCTCATGTCTTGGAGCTCTGAGGTTCCCACCACAAAGTGGAGGTAATAGTATTTTCCTTCTTCAGAATGTGACGGGAATTTAACTGAAGTTATTTACATAAAGGGCCTTGGAAAAAAAGGGAAAAGTTTACAATTATTATGTACAAGTTAGTGGTAAGACAGAAGTTTATAAATGTATTTATAAAATGAAGGAGCTGGATTAGACAATCTAATGGCCATTTTAGGTTGATATATTCTCTGACGAACCATAGAAATAGGAAAAAATAGATCTAAAAAGATATAATTGTTCGGGTAAGATAATTTTCTAACACAAAAGTAATAACAATAAAAAGTGAAAAGGTGAAAAAATTTTTTCCATCAATATTTTTGTAGAAAAAGAACACCAACTAAAATAAAAATACAAGCAACAGATTATAAAAACATTTGCAGCAAATATGGCAGATGAAGATTAATATCTTTACCATACAAGAGGGCATATGTCAAGGAGAAAAATAAGGCCCCGATAGGTAAATATGCAAAGGACATTAACAGATAATTCAGTGACAACTGTTTAACAAAGAAAAAAGTTTGATCTCATTAGTAATCAACAAGATACGACTTTCACTTTATGAAATTGATAAAGATTGAAAATATCTGACCCTCAATGTGCTAGAGGAAATTCTCATATATGCCGGTAGCGCTCTTTGTGTAAGCATCAAAAGTCATAAAAATCTGATGTCCCCAAAATATTCCGAGAAAATAAATGTGGCAAATGCAGGCAGGTTAAATGCAGGTAGGTAAGACAGGGCGGGAAAAAGGGAAAGAACTTTAATATTTGACACTAAGGAGATCATCAAATAAACAATGAACATCACCCTGATACCAACAACGTGGAAAATTTCTCATGAGAAAGTTAAGGCAAAACAAAGGAGATGCAAAACTGTTTACAAGCTCTGATTATAGGTATGTAAAAACAAAAATATGCACAAGGGAAAAAAAACTACATCAAGGGCTAAAGGTGGTTGTGCACATGTGAGTTTGGCTCAGTTTTGGGGTCAGAGTGACAGGTATCAAACACTGGTTCCAGGCCCCCAAGATGGGTCACCTAAGACTTTAGGTGGAATCTTTCTGAATCTTAATATCTTCAGTTACAATTATACAGGCTGCTGTAAGGATAGAATGAAACAACCTAAAGGGCTAGCATTGTATTTAGCACAAAGTAAACGCTAGATAAATATTAGTTATTTTACTTTTTATTGATAATGTGGTTACATTGCCTTTGTGAATATCTTATAAACAAGAATGTTTTAATTATGTGATTATTATGTAGCGAATTTCCTGAATGGACATACTTCTTAAAATGAGCTATATTCTCCCTTTCAATTTTTGTTCATTTTCAGAAATGAATCAAGTGTGAAAATAGCATTTCTGTTAATCCATATAGAACATTTACAAATTGGTCTGTCTTGTCTATTTTGTAACTTTTCTAAAAAACAAGAAGTCGTTGCAAAAGAAGATTAACACTTGTACACTTAGCCCATCAAACTCAATAGATGCTGCTGTTAAGGGTCTCAAATGTAACAAGACACATTCCTAGGGTGTTTTTAAATTTTCTCTGTTGGGATCCTACATGCTCCGGCAACATTTGACTCAATGGTTAGCTTTTGAGTCTATACCCCACGATCAGACACAGACAGAAGCAATGTTCTTCTAGGTTCAAGGCCACCAATTAAAAATAGATTTAGACATTCAATTTTCCTTCATGTCATAGATTCCTTCATAACACAGAACTGGACATCCAAGTTCCTTCATGAAACTGTATGATATGAACTATCAACGCCCCCACCCATGTGAGATGATGATTACTCTCCAAAGTGCGTATTTTTCAGCATGTAGAATTATTATAGAAGTATGACACCACTACTTTTTTGTGACTTTCTTTTCCCAAGCATGTTTTATTCATTAGCTTATGAAATAAAAGCTATGGGGTCTTTTAGATAAACATTTATTTAGGGGTAACAGAATGTCAGATGACTTTCTTTTGCATTTTACCCCTCACCATCCAAACCTTGATGGCGTGCTCCATGAATAAACCCTATATTTTTTAAAAAACTCTGACTTCCCAGCTCACTACAACATGATTCATAATAAACAACATACTTTTGTTGCGAATATTTTGTTACAGTGACAGAAAGACAGCTTAGTCAATCAAAGACGCAAACAAGACAGCCTAATATATGACTTCTAAGCATCTGCGTTATACGGTGTGTGGTAAAAAGTGACTTGGCTGGAAAGCCAGGGTTACGTCTTGCAGTTTGGCACCAGCTCCAGAGTTCTAACTTCGGAAGATTTCACAAGAGTTTGAAGTCAGAGAATGAAGGGAAAAAATACCCCCGGAAGAGGGCTGTGAGTTAACGTAAAGAAATCAGTCGTTGCTAATGTAACCCACGCGTCGCATGTCTGCCATTACCAGTTTGTCTTTCTGTCGTTCACCATGGATGAGAAAGCCGCTTCGTCCATTGCCTTCGGGGTGCATGACCTTACAGACCCCCACGCGACTGATCCCGCCTCCTTCCTGTGGGAACCATCCCCCGCTGGAGTCATCTCTGGTCATAACCACAGCCTTGACACGCACAATATAGCTGTCACTAAAACGACAACAACAAGAATAATGGGGCATGACAATGGTCTGGTAGCTGCAGGACACGTTTCACAATGCAAGATGACCACCAGCCAGCATTTTCGGGACTCATCAAAAGAAAATCTATGCCTGGCAGCAACCTTAAATGGAAGCCCATCTCAACTTTTAGAGAAAAAACAAACACTTAAACTCAATATAAAAGTACATTTAAAGACATATGCCCAGTAATTAAAAAATATTTGTGAGTCTTTGAAGATGTATGCAGGCATAACATTCTCCAGTTTCGAGGTAGAAGCATGAATAATAAAATGAATGAGCTGATCTCCACAGTTTGGTATCTATAGGTTAGGAAAGGCATATCCATTCGCTTAAGAGGATATTATGTTTTCAACCCTTAAAACTTAGTTTATAACGAATGACCAACGTTCAACATTTTGTAAAGCTAATAATCTTCTGATTTAGCATAAGAATAGGATACTCCACTTCCAAATCACAAATTCACCATGCAATCATTTAAATAGGTGGGAAAATATTTCAATTCAAATACTCTTTACACATGTGTAGACTTCTGTTTATGATTTTATTTTTTCCAGTCTAAACTTCAATTTCACAATAAGTTCTTCTGCACATTTGCCAAGAATCTCTTTCTCCTCTAGAGACCAACTCTAGCTTTTTTTCACTCTCCATCACTTTTTGAGAAATTTATTTGGATTTTCAGCAAGGCTATTAAATTCTCGCTTGCTGTTTTCTTTCCTGGATGGAATTCATTTCTTTCTCATCCAAACGTATATTCCCATCTTCTATACACCAGGCACTATGCCAGATTCTACGGAAACAAAGATACACAGTGACACAGAACCCCTCTTTCCGCCCCCCAGGACAGGTGCTCAGACCTGGCCACCACCGTCATCTGCTGGAGACCATTTAGAAGGTCCCTCTGACCCACATCCCTGCTCACCTCACTCACTCACCAAAGGCAAAGCCTCCCGGATTTCCCACAACTCCCTGTGGCTCACCCTCTACTGTGACCCAATTTGTCTCCCATTGTGCCCCGGGGACTCAAGGCCCAGGATCCCCCTCACTCCTTCATCCCTTCCATAGACCATTCCTTTCACTTTTTTTTTAATTGTGGTAAAATATATATAATGTAAAATTTACTATTTTAGCCATTTTTAAGTATACAGCTCTGTGGCATTAAGCACATTCACACTGTTCTGCAGTTGTCACCACCATCCATCTCCAGAACTTTTTTCCTCTTGCAAAAGTGGAACTCCCTTCCCATTACACTAATTCCCCATTCTCCCCTCGCCCTAGCCTTTGGAAACCACCACTCTACTGTCTGTCTCTGTGAACTCAACTCCTCCAGGTACCTCCTCACGTAAGTTTCTTTCACTTTCTTAACCTAAATGAAAACATGCTCTGGGCTGAGCCTCTGTGGCCCACGCACGTGGGGCTGCTTTCTCTCTGCCACAACCCTCCATGCTGAGCCTAGGTGTGGGGTAGGGTATTTGCCTCTGCTGCAGGCCATTGGTCCTCCCTCCAGTTCCTCTGAAACTCACAGGTCTGACCACGCCCCCCACTACCCTTCTTCAGACCTCTGGGTCACATTCCCTCATTCCTTGAGGATGTTAGCAAGTGGACTCACTGTCCCTCTGTCTCTCCACTATGATCCCTGTCAGGATTCTGCGTAATTCACCCTTCACTCAGAGGATCCTTCCAATTCCTTGGCCTCCCAGTTTCTGGAACTCTTCTTCTCCAATGCCCTTGTCTTACACCCAATCTTAGCCACCCACGCCTAGGTCACACCCTGGACCCTGTCATTACCAATAGCCGTACAACCTCCACAACCTCAATCTGAAGCATCTGGCTGTTCAGCCACCACCTCCTAACTTTGCAGCTCTCTCCCTCCAGACTCCGGTAATTCTTCACCCACTGGGGCCAACAGACTACTGTTCCAATCACCTTTTCCCTGTTCCCCACATCCCTCCTGTTCTCACTTGATTTGCTGTCCAACGTAAATTCCATGGTCTATCATGACACTCTTTTGCACAAAAACTTAACAAGTTCACCTTCTCTTTCCTCATAGTGCTTGCCTGGTGAAACTCCGACCCTGGTGAAATCCTACCATCTACTTAACTCCATGGCCCACCCAGGCTGCAGTACATGGTTAGAGGCAAAACTCCATTCTACTATGCTGATAGGTCTAGTTTAAAAGTCCTAACCACTAAACTCAAGCAGGTCCTCAAGTGCCACCCAGCATCCTACATTTCCCCAAGAAAATTATTTCACATGTCCTCTGACGCCCTCCCTCTCAGATGATGGATGAGCTTGCTTTAATTTCACTGAGAAAACAGATGCAGCCAGAAGAGACCTTGCACCTGTGTACCCCCAGCATGCCCACTCCTCTGTACCAGAACTCCCTGCCTCTTCTGTAACTGTGGCCAAACCATCCACGCTCCAAGCCAAGGCCAACAACTCCACCTAAATACTTTCTATGTGTTAAGAGTGCCCAAATTCACATTTCTACCCAGATCTCTTCTCTAAGCTTCAGATCAGTAAAACCAGTGGCCTATGTGATTTCTCCGCTTGCGCATCTAAATCAACATGTTTCAGGTAGAACTCTTGATTCCCAATACCTCCCTATCCTTCTGGTTCTCCCTTCGAAATATATCCAGAATCCACTTTTTCACTACTTCCATCGACTCTGCCCTGGATCCTGGTGCCATCATCTCTTGGACAATTGCAATAGCCTCCTCATTGGCCTGGTTACTTCTAGGCTTGCCCAACTTTCTAAGAAAATAGAAAGGTAAGTCAGATTATGACACTCTACTAAAACAAATCCTCTGATATCTTCCTATATGACTCAAGTGAAAGTCGAATCTAGCACTATCTTACCACTGTCTTCCTTGCTCATTCCACTTCAGTCCCATTGTCCTTTTGGTCCTCCACTTAAGCACATCCCCACCTCAGGGACTTTGCACTTGCTGTTACTTTCACTTTTGAGGGAAACAATAGAAAGAATAAAGAAATGGGACTTCATCAGACTAAAGAGCTTCTTCAAGGCAAGGGATAACAGGATTGAAACAAAAAAACAGCCCACTAATTGGGAAAAAATATTTACAAGTTATTTATCTGACAAAGGGTTAATCTCCATAATATATAAAGAACTCACACAGCTCAATAACAAAAAATCAAACAACCCAATCAAAAAATGGGCAGGGGACATGAACAGACGTTTCTCCAAAGAAGATATACGGATGGCCAATAGACACATGAAAAGATGCTCATCATCACTAATCATCAGGGAAATGCAAGCCAAAACTACACTAAGATACCACCTTACACTTGCTAGAATGGCAAAAATATCCAAAACCAAGAGTGACAAATGTTGGAGAGGCTGTGGAGAAAAAGGAAGCCTCATACACTGTGGGTGGGAATGCAAACTGGTGCAACCACTATGGAAAACAGTATGGAGATTCCTCAAAAAGTTAAAAATAGAAATACCTTATGACCCAGCCATCCCACTACTGGGTATCTATCCTAAGAACCTGAAATCAACAATTCCAAAAGTCCCATGCACCCCTATGTTCATCGCAGCATTATTCACAATAGCCAAGTCATGGAACCAACCTAAGTACCCAGCAACTGATGATTGGATAAAGAAGATATAGTATACACACACACACACACACACACACACACACACACACACACACACAATGGAATACTACTCAGCCATAAAAAATGACAAAGTCGTCCCACTCACAACAACATGGATAGACCTTGAGGGTATTATGTTGAGTGAAATAAGCCAGCCAGAGAAAGACGCACTCTGTATGACTCCACTCATAGGTGGTAGTTAACATATAGACAAAGAGAACTGATCGGTGGTTACCAGGGGAAAGGGGGTGTGGGGGGAGGGCACTAAGGGTGAAGTGGTGCACCTACAACATGACTAATAATAATGTACAACTGTAATTTCACAAGGTTGTTAACTATCATAATCTTAATTAAAAAAATGAAAAAACCTCCATTTCCCACCCTTCTTCCCATACACTAACTAGGCTCATGCCCTTACTTCATTCAGGTCTTTGCCCCAGGTTATTTCAGCAGAGAAGACTTCTCTGTCCAGTTTATATAAAGTGGCACCCTCCACTCCTCTTAAATCTTCTCACCCTGTTTCGTCTGTCTACACGCTACTAAGTCAACATCTGTCCTGTCTGCCCACTTTTCCCAACTAGGATGTAAACTCCAGAAGAGCAGAGGCTTTGCCCTTTCTGTTCACTGCTGGATCCCTAGAGCCCAGAGCTCTGTCTTATATGCAGAAGGTTGTGGAATGAATGGGTTAAATACTCAATAGTTATAAACAGGTTTTTAAAAAATTATTTGTAGCTATCAGAATCCTTGAGAAAATATAAAGTGTTCAATACTCATTTGTTTATGAGCTGTAATAGCTTAATCGGGACAGGGTAAAGATTTCCATTTCATTAACAGGGAAATAGAATTTAAAAATCACATGGTTGGGGGCCGGCCCGGTGGCCGAGTGGTTAAGTTTGTGCGCTCCACTTCGGCGGCTCAGGGTTTCGCCGGTTCGGATCCTGGGCGCGGACATGGCACCGCTCGTCAGGCCACGTTGAGGCGGCGTCCCACGTGCCATAACTAGAAGGACCCACAACTAAAATATACAGCTATGTACCTGGGGAATTTGGGGAGAAAAAGCAGAAAAAAAAAAAAAAAGATTGGCAACAGTTGTTAGCTCAGGTGCCAATCTTAAGGAAAAAAAAAATCACATGGTTTCTACCACTAATCCATTCACCTCAGGATTCAACATGCATAGTCCTTTAGATCAGAGAGACTAAGAACATTTTATAACATTTGCTTAGATTAGTTACATACAAACAACTGAATAATATCCTTTTTTTCCCTACACCCTATTTATTCTAGAAAAGCTAAGCGTCCCCAGGATCTGGAATCTTCAGTATGAAACACAGCTTTCTCAGATCTTCT